ACACTCTTGTAGGACACTCTTGTGGGGCAATCTTGTAGGACACTCTTGTGGGACACTCTTGTAGGACACTCTTGTGGGACACTCTTGTAGGACACTCTTCTGGGACACTCTTGTAGGACACTCTTGTGGGACAATCTTGTAGGACACTCTTGTGGGACACTCTTGTAGGACACTCTTGTAGGAAACTCTTGTGGGACACTCTTGTAGGACACTCTTGTGGGACACTCTTGAAGGACACTCTTGTGGGACACTCTTCTGGGACACTCTTGTAGGACACTCTTGTAGGACACTCTTTTGTGACACTCTTGTAGGTGGGACACTCTTGTGGTGGGACACTCTTGTAGGACGCTCTTGTAGGACACTCTTGTAGGACACTCTTGTGAGACACTCTTGTGACACTCTTGTAGGACACTCCGCGCACTAAAGTTGTACTACAAAGTCGCCAGTTCTCAGCTTCCAGCTCACACGTCAAGTCTCCAAAAAGAGCATTTCGTACGAGACTTCCTCAAAAACTCACACGTCAAGTCTCCAAAACGAGCGTTTGGTACGAGACTTCCTCAAAAACTCACAGGTCAAGTCTCCAAAAAGAGCATTTCGTACGAGACTTCCTCCAAAACTCACACGTCAAGTCTCCAAAACGAGCGTTTCGTACGAGACTTCCTCAAAAAGTCACACGTCAAGTCTCCAAAACAAGCGTTTCGAACGAGACTTCCTCAAAAACTCACACGTCAAAGTCTGCAAAACGAGCGTTTCGTACGAGACTTCCTCCAAAAGTCAAGCGGAAACACCCATCGGAGCACACACATCACGCAGCCCTGCCAAGCAGTTTCGCGATTCCAGCTCCTCCAAACAACACCCACTCACACGCCAATCCCAATGTGACAGCGACGTTCACCTCTACCACAATTCACAACCTCACGATTCCCTGCGCCTGCCACGAATCTTTCCCCATCCACACGTCTAACGCGCACAAAGTCCTGCGCCTGCCACGAGATTTCACCTCCCTGACACCTCGCAACCTCACGATTCCCTGCGCCTGCCACGAGAATCGCACTTCCACGCCTCAAAAACCGCAGGAAGTCCTGCGCCTGCCACGAAAAGTGACAATATCATCTCATGTGAGCTTCAACAAAATTTGCACCACACCACACGTTTGGAATGATTTCGATCCGTTCTGAGCACACTCCCATCCACCAAAATCGCCATTTCAGCTGAGACTTGTCACGAAAACCGAGCTTCCACGCCACACCCTGAAACGCAAATCCCAATGGCACGGCCACATCCAACACCCCAAAAACACGACTCTCCAAACGCTAATCCCAATGGAACTGCGCGGCAAACTGCGGATCTCACAAAACGCTGCACCTGTGCAGCGAAACGCATCACGTCTCTTGCGCGACATGTCGGTGTCATGCAAATCACAATGGAATAGCGGCGCAAACTGACACGTGACACATCCATGAAAAGTCACTTGCAAAAGCTTCCCCCAATGGCAGCAAATTTGAGACGCGACGACGACGACAAACGACGACACGACGCACGCCACGCGAACACAGCTCCAACCCCCAGACCCCCAACTATAAACGGGAACCCTTCGCTACGCATTCGGGAAAAAACATTATTGCAACACTGGCTAGTAAAGTCCATATAGATACAACAACCTGTGGATAAACAAACACCTCTTGGATAAAAGTAGAACACATGGGGTAAATACTGTATGAAAATCTGATGTCCACATAATGTAACATGTCATTGGGAAAAATTCACACGATAACATGTTAAACAACAAAATCAACTGGGTCCACTGTGGCCTGAGAGCTAACTTTTATATTGATTACCAGCAATGTATCAACATAAAAATGTGCAGTACTCATCTCCCAGTCACCGCAGCTGCAGCTTCAGCAGCCCTTCTCTGCTGATCATGAAAGGCTGCAGCGCGTCTCTGGGACTCAGTCAATGGTTTGATCCATGGACAATGGTTGTTACTGCTTGTGACAGTTCAAGTTTCACACAGGCTTCAGCTTCCTCTCAAACTTCAAAGGCTAAATCAAATAACATATT